TAAGTGATGATGGAGACCCTAAGATGCTGGAGCTGCTAAGAATATGCATGTCCTTTAAGGAAAGCTGCAGGCACTAAGTGGACTCAGCCCCAAAGACATCGCAAGTGCTGCAAATGGCAGAGCCAGGGAGGCCAACTACCTACACCTGTGTGTGTTCCTATAGTGCCACCACGAGTCCCATATGCTAGACATGGAGCCACAGGATTTGTGCTACTGTATCTAAGAGGTCTATAACTTGGTTTTTTATTTTGCAGGGGTTCATAGTTAGAATTTTGGACTTTTAAATAATTTTGAAACTGTTAAGGCAATGAGAACTCTTAAGTTAGGCTGAATACATTTTGAATTATGAAACAGTCATGAACCTATGGAAGTTGGGGCAGAATGTTATGACTTGAATGTGAAATGTTCCCCATTGGTTCATATGTTTAAACAACTGGTCTCCAGGTAGTAGTGCTGTACTGTGAATCATTTGTGACCCTGAGCCTGGCTAGTGGAGGTACACCACTAGCGGGGGAGGGGGAGCCTAGAGTTACAGCTGGCCCTGCATCTGGTTTCATATCTGTTTTCTGATCCACCAAGCGATGAAAAAACTGTACACAACCTCCTGCCACCAGGGTCTAAGCCTCTCCCATCACGATGCCTTCCTGACATGACAGACTAACCCCTCTCAAACTATGGATTAAAACAAACCTCTTCTTGAGTTTAATAAGAAATGGCTAGAAGTAAAGATGTGACCATTAGGATGTCCTAATAAGAAAAGACACAGATGTAGATGCACAGAGACACTACCATGTGATAGAGACAGATCAGAGTGATACATTTATAAATGAAGGAAAGACAAAGTCTGCCACCAATACCAGAAGCTAAGAGAAAGACACAACACACACTTTCCCTCACCTGAGAACCGTGATCTCTAACTTTCATCTTTCAGAACTGTAAGAGGATAAATTCAGGTTGATTTACAATGCCAGTCAGTCCTAGGAAGCTCACATAGGTGTGATGACCTGCGGTCAGAGAAGCCACGTCTGGGAGTAGAATGATGAGGGGATAGTTCCCGGGCCACAGGCACTTTCTCCTTATTGTAGCTCCAAATTTAAAAAAAAAAATCATAAAAATTTTTAAAAATCATAAAAATGGAATCTCAAATGTTCAGGTTGATTTACAATGCCAGTCAGTCCTAGGAAGCTCACATAGGTGTGATGACCTGCGGTCAGAGAAGCCACGTCTGGGAGTAGAATGATGAGGGGATAGTTCCCGGGCCACAGGCACTTTCTCCTTATTGTAGCTCCAAATTTAAAAAAAAAAATCATAAAAATTTTTAAAAATCATAAAAATGGAATCTCAAATGAGCAAACCATTAAAAAAGGAAAGGGAAGGGGAAGGGAGAGGGAGGAGGGGGGGGGGGCG